CACAAGTACACAATATCCAAATTTCTTCTTCGACTTGGGTATTTAGCTTGTGGGGATTTGAACTTCATTACCTTGATTGTGAATCTTTTGACCAATGATTCAATGTACAGAGTCTGAGTTTTTTGTACACCTTTAGACTCACGTTTCCTTGTGTTGTCATCTCTGACATCACGATATTTCTTCCAAAATACAACCATCTGACCTATGATCTAGGTGGTTAAGGAGATTATTTCTCAATTACCCTCAGGTCTCCTTTCACCTAAGTTGGTGTCGAACCCCTTTTCGACCACAGCTAATGAATTCCATACGGACTCCAATTTGAATCGTTCCGCTTGGGCATCGAGTTCTCCAGATTTGTAGTCACTCTTGGCTTCCCGGTCCTTAACCCTTGGTCCAGGCGGCTAGATCATTAAAATCAATTGCTCCTTTAATTGATCATTGTGTTTGGTCATTTGGCCTAGATATGTTTAATTTTATTGCAATCTTAAGGCTTTTAACAAAATGAGAAAGCTGCCCTATTTGAGGCACGTCAAAAAAGGAGGGATCGGGTGCATGTGGTTCCCTCACGCGCCCATTTTTGGCTCCACAACCCCGTGGTGCCTGCTGGTAATCGAACAAACGATACAAAAACATATGGTTGATAGATAGGCCTTTAATCATGATGTGTTTGTGCGTTGAGTTCGAAAATATGCAATTTCCCGAAAACATGTGTGATTGAGGGGATGGAATAGGCGCTCTCCCATATGCATGTGAGTTGCTAGTATTAGTTGGACATAAGGTTTAGACCTTTAAGCCCGAAGTGATATGGGGCTCTGAATGCCCCAGGTACTAGGCCTATGCAAGCATGAATGCGCCGCTTGGCTCAAGAGTGGGTGAGTGATCATCAAACTCCTTTATGAAAGTCTTTTTTGGTTAGGACCTCCATGGGTAATGATGGGATCGTTTCCCTCATGGGCTGCCCCTTAGATCTTGGGCCCTGCTGCGACCTTTGGACAAAGAGAGCTGGAGTGTCGGTGGTACCTAAATGCGAGTCAAGATATTGGGGTCGTCCGATGAGACTTTTACCACATGAACTGCCCCTATCATCAAGCTCTTTTTTTTTTGACAAGAGTGTTGAATATTATTTAAGTCATGGAGTCATTACAACCATAACAACAGAGAAAATGAAAAAAAGAAACCAACATTAGAACAAAGAAAGGGAAATCCTTAACGAGCGAAGGGATGCCCCTTCTTAGCAAGATCATCTACCAAAGTATTAGCCTCTCTATATATATGGTTGAAGGTAATGTTGCTGCCAGCAGATAATTATTTAATGTGCAACCAGATACGTCTTATATGCCAAGGTGTAGTAGATAAGCGATTACACCAGTCCATCGCATTCTTAGAGTTCCCTTCCACAAATAGGGAGTCCCCCAAGCTCATCTCCTTCCATAGCTTGATACCTTGTAGGACCGCTGCCATTTCAGCATAGTTTGCAGTGGCATCACCACACGGTCCTGCAAAACAAAAAGCTAAATTCCCACTTGAATCCATGCATACCCCACCTACCCCAGCCCTACTACTCAAAGGAGGTTGCCAACTGCTTCTAGGCATCACCTTAAGAAATCTTAACGAGATTAATTGATCAAGATTATCATCTACATCCATTCTTGAAGCCCCCATCCTTCTTTAGTAATTCTAAACCAATTCCATGTATTGAATAAGTTCTTATTCTTTAAGGTTGCCAAATCCACTGCTTCACCCTCAAAAGTCCTCTTATTTCTTGCAAGCCATACTTCCCATAACAATGAACCACAAAAAATATTCCAAAGAATTCCCCCAACCCTTGGAACTCCAACAATTTGCAATTGATTCACAATATGCCAAACAGATGAAGGGCGATTCATAGAAAACCCCACTTTTTGCAAAACCCAATACCAAAGTGCAGAAGTAATTGGACAAAGCAAAAACAAGTGATCATGCAATTCCTCATCAGTTTTACATAAAAAGGTTAACCATGATCTTACTTCGTTTTCTCAAATTGTCCCCTATTAAGCATTTACTTTGTGCCAAAATCCAAATAAAATCTTGCAATTTATGAGGGATTTTCAAACTCCATATATCTTTTAAAAAAGGCTGATTCCATCTTACACGATCATGAAATAAAATATCATACACTGACCTTACCAAAAAGGCACCATCAGCTCTCATATGGCAACATCCTCTTCAAAACTTGAGATAAAAAAAATTCTCTAAGACAACTTTGCAATTCCAAATACTGATTAACGGCAGCAACATGTAATCTATTGTATAAGCAAGTAACATTCCATATAGTGGACAGCTCATTGCCACTACCTACTTCATGCACATTAGCCATCTATTGCAAACTTCTATGATAAATATCAGAAAAAGGGCTTTCAATGGGAGGTCCCATTTCGAGTGCCAAAACAAGGCCATATCATCTTTACCCACCATCCATCTGTGGTTTGTTTTCCAACTATCATTAACAACCTATAGAGAATGTGTGCGTGTGTGCATGAGAGAGAGAGAGAGAGAGCTACATTTTGTGCGCATCGAAATTCAACCTTATGCTGATCTAAAAAAGAAGATCTAAGTTGTCTGATAAACATAATTTGTTTATCATATTATGCATGTCTTATTTTCAACAAATTGTTTCTATTGGGCATTGGCTAATATGTACTTATCAAAGTATAAAATGAACAGTTAAATTGGTTTAATAGAAAACTACCAAAACCTGGTTTTCGACTTAATTCAACCCAACATGTGCTTTGTTACTAGGTTGTTCCAGGAGTTTCCCAAATCGCCTTGTTGCGAAAACTACGTTTTACATATACTAGAATTAGCATACTTAGCTTCCTCGGCATATCCAAGGTCATCATATTTTTTTTTAAAAAATAGTGATCTAGATTGGAATCGCCAAATCTAGATTGTTAAATAATGGGACTAGTCCAATTTCCATCAAATATTGGGAACTGGCCAATCCCAATACGAAGTGGTTAGTTCTAGCTGGTTCTCGAATAGAACTGGCCCTTCCCACTTTTTACTTAATATTTTTTCAAATTTTTTATTCTCTTTTTCTTTTATTTTTATTTTCTGTTGGCCTATTCACTTGGTCAGGCTGCCAATTTAGATCGTTGATCTGTCGATCTTGACCGGTTTTCAAGTGGGCAATCTAGGTCATTGATCTTTTTTTTAAGGGAAATTAACAAATATCCCCAACTTGTACTTTCTCGACATCCTATTCCAAGCACCTTTGATACCACATTATTAATCCCAATTTATTTTTTTACAGCACTAATATGTACTGGTTCCAGCACAAGTTTAATGTAGAGCTAGTCTGACACAAGAAAATGTGCTGAATCGACTTTGTACAAGTTGTGCTGGTTTCGCACAAACATGTGCTGGACTGGCACAAGTTGAAAATGGAACCAGTTCAGCACACAAAACTTGTGGCGGATTGATTTTATACAAGTTGTCCTGGTCCAGCAAATTTCAGCGTAAAGAGAGAGTGGCAAATATGGCTAAAAATAAGATATTCTCTTAAATAGATGCAACTCTTGTAATTGGGGATGGTGGCAAAAAAAAAGGAAAAAAAAAAAATCATGGAGATTCAAGATTAATAGTGTGCTTACAATATTCTCTTAAATAAAAGTCAACTTCTATAATTGGGGATGATTCAAAAAATAAGAGAGTAATGATCCTATGAGACCCTCCCACACCTATGTGTATAGGACTTCAAAAGATCACCATTAAATTTGGCACAGATCTCAAGAAAGGTTATCACATGGTGTGAGACTTGATTTTTCTAGAGATCTGTACCAAATTTAATAGTGATCCTTTGAAGTCCTACATATATGTGTGTGGGAGGGTCTCATAGGGTCATTACTCAAAATAATAATGTCATGGTTAGTTAGTTATGTTGCGGCCAAATGGTCGTTAAAAACAAAAAGGCAACGAAATTAATAGGTGTGCTAACAAGTTATCTATAATTTCCTTTTTTTTAAGGACATGGTTTTGGTGAGTGAGCTGACTTACCTATTATTATGCGTTCAATGGATGTCAAAAATGTTACTTCCACTAAAAGTTAAAATAGGTGATAAAAAAAGGCATTAAAAAAAAGGGAAAAGTTTATATAAGGTTGCAACCGTAAAATGTAGAATTACAGATGCACCTCAAAAATTTATCGAAAAGGTTGTTTTAATGTTGAAAAACCCTCTATTTGATCTTCTTGACATCGAAATGTATGAATGTATATAGAAAAAAGTTTTTGAGTCTCAGAAATAGTGCATCTTGCAACACATTATCTAGGCCGTCCATTTTCAAGTTTTTCATATGTTTATAGATCTCCTTGATTTTAACTATTTTTGGAGTCGAAACTTTTTTAATTAGATATGAATATAGATTTTAAGATAATCCTAAGAATTTTTTATGACAAGATTACATGTTATGATAAATTTTGGAGGTACACCTTAATTGGATTGTTTAAGGTTGCAACCTTATAGAAACCGCACCTTTAAAAAAACATTTATATTTTTTGAAAAAGAAAAATTCCAAATTTAGATCATTTTCATGGTTAAGATTATTAGACTCTAAAATTTGGATTGAAAATACTTATTTGAGATATATTTTGTAGGGAGACTGCACAAAAATAGTCTGAGTCCGACCACTCGCCGAACACGGATCCTTTTTCTAAACATCGGGTTAGAAAAGTTCACTTCAAGGTGAAGAAAAGAAAGGAGGAGAAAAAAAAGAAAAAGAGAAACAGGTGAGTGAGAAAATTGACTTTTGTTAAGAACTCGAAAAGATGTTTTCCTTTGCCTTTATGTATTTGTTGTACGACAGTGTAAAAGAATACTTCGTTCGATTGTTTCATGCAGGGCTGGACTGCATTTCTACAATATGCGGTGCAGAGGTATCAAAGTGGAGTAGTCTCTTCTATATTTATTTGTTTGCTAGGCGTTGGAAAAGTTAGTAGAGCTGCTATTCTATACCTTATTTTGAGCAGTAATGGCTCCCACAACCCCTAGGGTTTCCTTCAATCTCAGGGTTGGTGACGGTAAACGGTGCCACATTCGAGTAGACGAAGAGGAAATCCATCAGATTAAATCACTCTCAGACAAAGAATCAACGGCTGCAGTCCTTAGGAATCTGTTTGACCTCAGCGTTAACAGTGGTAGTCACATCTCCATTGAAGTTGCAGACAAAGAGATCCATCCAACCAAACAAAAAAAGCAAGACCAAAACCAAGAAGCAAAACCAGAGCATGCCACTGGTAACAAAGCAGTGGTGCCTTTTGGTTCTAGGGGCCCTAGGGGTTTCTTTGACATAACGATCGGTGACATTAAAGCAGGCCGGATCATAATGGAGCTCTACACTGACGTGGTTCCGCGGACTGCAGAGAGCTTCAGGGCCCTGTGCACTGGAGAAAAAAGTAAAGCCCCCAATGGGAAGCCCCTCCATTACAAGAGATCCTCATTCTTTTCAGTCGTTCCAGGCGTGTTCTGTGGAGGTGGCGATTGCACTGGTGTTGGTGGAATGTTTAAGGATGAAAATTTCAAGGAGAAGCATAAAGACTTTGGCGTCCTGTTCATGGCTAATGAAGGAAAGCGTGATAACAATGGCTCGAGGTTTGCTATAGACCTTAACAAGAACACTCGGTACGATGGACACTATGTTGTGTTTGGTGGGGTGGTGGAGGGGCTGCATGTGGTCCGGGCAATCGAGAATGTCAGCTCACCTTCTAGCGTGATCATCAAGCCCGTTCTTATTGCAGACTGTGGCGAGGTTTGAAGACATAACAACCAAGCCAAGAGCTCCTTCCTCTGCTGTAAGGATTTGTGGCTTCTTTTTTTTTCCTAGCTTTATGGCAGTACGCTTTAGAACTGCTAAGGGTTGTTTCGTTTTTCTTTTTTCCTCGAGGTAGATTGTGAATATGAATAATCTGTGTAGATTATGAATAAGAGTAATGATCCACAGGCCCTCCTCTACCCGCATTACCCCCAAAGGATTATCATTAAGTTTGATACGGGCCTATAGATGGTTGTGACAAGGATTATCATTAAGTTTGATACGGGCTTTAGAAACCTGGTGACATGGTTGGGGGACTTAAATTTTTTTTTTTAAAAGCCCTATAAAATCATTTTTCATAAAATTTTTATAAATAATTATAAAATACTGCACGTCCCTTTGTATTTTAGTGCCCAGTACAAACAAAGCTCAAGGCAATTAAGAACCACAATCTTTTGTATTTGTTGGTACATATGAGCATTTTGGTCTTAAGGGATCACCACCTCTATTTGCTCCTTTTTGCATCTTATGTTTTGTTTAACATTAGCTATTTTAAATGTTTTATTAGGATGACGTGGGGTACTATAGAAAGAAAATGGGGGCTCGGACTCTCCCTCTCGCTCTCTCTACAGAGTAAAAAGTTCATGAGCTGTCTCTTTTTTGACGTCTCCCTCTCATGAGTAGTACTTACTGACCGATTTTCAAGTAAAAGAGTACTGCTATCTGTAATAATCAATTTTAAGACGTGGGATCATCATATTTTTTATTTAGAAAAAATACATATATATTAATTATATTTTATGTTGTTATGGTTGTATCAAATACTTTCCGTTATTTAATGTATATCTATTTTTTATCATTTATAACATAATTTTTTAAAAAAGATAACTTTACTCTTTTTCGGATGTTGAACATCCGAAAAAATATCGAAAGTATAACGTTCACATTCTCATTTTCGGTTGTTGAACATCCGAATTGAAAGGTTTTTCGGATGTTCAACATCCGAAAATAGCCCGAAAGTTAAACGTTCGCATTTCCATTTTCACACTTCGCAGTCAGATTTTCGGATGTTGAATATCCGAAAATGTGATATTTTCGGATGTCCAATATCCGAAACCATTTTCGAATGTTAAACATCCGAAACCATTTTCGGATGCTAAACATTCGAAAATATCATTTTTTCGGATGTTCAACACCAAAAATGGGAAGATGAACTTTTGGCCTATTTTCGGATGTTCAACATTCGAAAAAATAAAAAAGGGTATGTATGTAATTTTTGGATGTTCAACATCCGAAAAATGGTCTGTATGTAATTTTTCAGATGTCCAACGTCCGAAAATGTCATATTTTCGGATATTCAACACCTAAAAATGGGAATATGAACTTTTGGCTTATTTTCGGAAGTTCAACATCCGAAAAAGTAAAAAAAAGGGTATTTATGTAATTTTCGGATGTTCAATATGCGAAAAAGGATATGTATATAATTTTTGGATGTTCAACATCCAAAACAGATAAAGTTGCCTTTTTAAAAAATTATAAAAAGTAAAAAAGGATATACATGTAATAACGGAAACTATTTGGTACATCCGTAATAACATAAAATATAACGGATATGTATGTAATTTTTCATTTATTTATCAATAGATGTTATTTTATCGATTGAGATAATAAATTTCGCTGTGAGAGAGAAATTTTCCATCCTAATCAATATTATACTACTAGGATGATGATTTTTTTTGTAGTAAGAGATATGTTTGTTTTATTAGGATAATAAATTTTGTAGTAAGGTTCTTTTTACGAATAAAAAATAAAATGCTTTTCAAATTAAGATAGTTTTTGGTAATAAAAAGTAATGTGAGGTAAAGAAAGTAATTTGAGGTATTTTAAGGTAAATAAATAAATTGAGATATAATAAAAAAATCAAATGAGGTATAGAAAAAAATTTTGTGGTACTTTTGAGTATAAAAATAAATTGAGGTACTCAATAAAAAAGAAAATGAGGTAAAGAAAACTCATTTGAGGTATTTTTTGTTAAAAAAATAAATTGAGCTACTTTTTGGTAAAAAAAAGAAAAAAAAGAAAAAAAAGAAAGATAAATAAAAATAATTTGAGGTGTTTTTTTGTTTAAAAAAAGCAAGGAAAAAGTTTATAAAGAGCCGAGGCCTTAAACAATCAAATCAGAGCCCACCTCAAAAATTTCACTAGAAGAAGTTGTTTTGATGCCCAAATATCCTCAATTGATCACCTCGACATCAAGATGCATAGACATGAGAAAAAAAATGGATTTCAAGTTTTGGAAATAGTGCATCTTGTAACGCTTTTTTGGACAGTCAATGTTCAAGATTTTTAAGTTTTCATAGATCAACTCGATCTACACTATTTTTAAAGCTTTAAATTTTATAATTAAAGATGAAAATATATTTTAAAGCTATTACAAAGATTTCCAATATTGAAATCACATTTCTCGACACTATTTGAAGGTGCGCTTTACTTTGATTGTTTAGAGCATCGACGCTATACAAAGTGCACCCAAATCTAACCCTTGGCTCTATACAATGTGTACCCAAAAATAAATTGAGGAAATTTTTGGTAATAAAAATACAATGAGGTATTCTTCGTTTCAAAAATAAATTGAGGTACTTTTTTAGTGAAAAATAAAATGAGGTAATAAATAATAATTTGAGGACTTTTTGGGTAAACAATAAATGTTGGTACTTCATGGTAATAAAAAACAAAATGAGGTAAAGCAAAATAACTTGACATATTTTCTGGTAAAAATAATAAATCGAGGTACTTTATGGTAATTAAAATAGCCTGAGGTATTTTTCATTTGAAAAATAAATTGAGGTACTTTTTGCTAATAAAAAAAGTAAAATGAATAAAGAGAAATAATTTGAGATCTTTTTTGGCAAAATAATTTACTGAGGTAGTTTTAGTAATAAAAAATATAACAAGGTAAAGAAAAATAATTAAAGGTATTTTTTGGTAAAATAATTTACTGGGGTAGTTTTTAGTAATAAAAATATAATAAGGTAAAAAATAATTTTATGTATTTTTTGGTCAAAGAAAAATTGAGGTAGGTTTTGGTAATAAAAAATAAAATGAGGTAAAGAAAAATAATTTGAGGTATTTTTTAGTAAAAAATAAATCGAGATATTTTTTGATCTAGAGGTATCGGAGTGGAATAGTCTCTTCTGTATTTATTTGTTTGTTGGGTGTTGGAAAAGTTAGTAGAGTTATTCTTTTCTCCCTTATTTGGAGTAGTAATGGCTCCCACAACCTCCAGGGTTCTTGGTCGGGGCCTGGTTTTCGAACAACCACAAAGGTCCTACGCGCTCTAGCGTGCATGTGTACTCTTTCATGCGGATAGGAACAAAAAAAGAGATAGATTTTAATCAAAAGGATGCGTTCAGACACCTACCTCACCGTTTGGGGTTCAGGGGATACGCCCAGGCAGTCGCTCTCTTAGAACGATTACGAAGCCCTTTGAAAATCTGACAATGCGGTTTGGATGCGAACCCTTCTCGAACTCAACACTTCATCTCGGTTATTTATCTCAAAATTGTGATGGGAATTCAAATGAAAATGTTCCTCGTTAATGGGTTGATTGAGTAGGTGGCTGGCAAAGTGATGTGGTTAAATGGACATGATGAAGAAAGGAGGGTGATGGAAGCTTCTTACAACGTGGGCATTATAAGACCCGACGATTAGAGCAGCCAAAGAGTCCAAACTCTATAGAATGCTAACTCAGGATGGCCGCACCCAAATGAGCGAGGACAAGAGCATTAATATCTCTCACAACTCAACTCGATTGTAAGGCGTGGAGGTTAGCAAAGCAATCCGAGAGTTGAAACTCTCAAAGTAGCTTTAGTCGACACCAAGTTGAACACACAGATGATGAAAGAAGTTACCGACACAGGAAGATAGAACGGATGGTTAGAAGATAATTAGGCGAAAGAATGTGAGTGCTTGTGGCTCGGGATGGGACTGATGATGCAAAAGAATGGGGTGTGTTTGATCAGATGCATGCTTGGGTGGTTAGTGAGTGAAAAGGCAGAAGAGAGTAAAAAACAGAGTTAAGGATGCCAGGTACGCTCTTAAGCGCAGCGCTAGGCTTAATGATGCAAAGAATGAGAGAGACTGCAAGTGAACAAGGGGGAGAAATGGCCAGGCCCACCTCTAGGCACGTGCCCGAGCTTGGCAATTGGTATGACGGGGCAAATAAGAGGAAGCAAAGGAAAGGAGGTAGGCCCGCCCTCAGGCACGGCTCTATGCCTTGGGGTGGATAAGAAGAAGAGGAGTGAAGAAGAAAGTGAGAGAGAAAGTTGGGTCCGCACCCAGATGCAGCCCTAGGCTTGGAGATGAGAGAGACACATGAACGCAAAGAAGGAGGTGGAAGGGAGAGCTGGGTCAACACTCAGGTGCGACCCTGCATTTAAACGAGTAAAGAGAAGAAGGAAAGGAGAGAGACTTGAGAGAAAAAGCTAGGCCCGCTGCTAGGCGTGGCCTGAACTTGTGCAAAGGAGGGAGGAAGAAGGGAGAAGCAAGAGGACAAGGAACCAGGCCCGTTGCTAGGCGCGGCTCAGGCTTGTACGTGAAAAGGGGGAGGAAGATGAGAGCAAAGAGAGAAAGGGGAAATGACTGAGCACGCTGTCAGGTGCGGCCCTGACCCATGTGTGAGGCAAAAGATAGGGGAAAGAATGCAGAGAAGAAGAAGAGGGAGGAGCGCCGGGTCGCTATTAGGTGCAACCCTGGGCTTAAGTGAAGGAAGAAGAAAAGAAGGAAAAGAGGGAAGAGAGAGAAGGGGAAGGAGAGGGAGAGGAGAGAGAATGAACTTGGGAGTGTCCTAGCCTAGGTGCACCCCCATAAATCTTCTTGCATGCACATGAGAGAGAGTGGCTAGGCTTAAGTTAAGGCTAGGGTGTAGGGTGTGGGGACTAGGGTGTAGTGTTTGGTCTAGGGTATGATCTAGGGGTATTTTCTCTCTACCAAAATATGGGTGGAATGCTCAAAAGTAATCAAGATTGTCAAAAATTACA